TTTGGATGTAGGAGGTAATCTCCGAAACTACTCATCTGATTTCAAAAATTCTTTCACCAATATTTAGAATGGAACTTCAGGGTGGACATAGGCTATATATTATTCTGTTAAACATTCATATAAATTAAAAGATATCATCTAGGGTTAAGGCTTTTATGTCCAACAGACTGTGCTAACTCCACGAGTACGATGACCTAAGTTTGCTTTTCTATGAGGATAAACTAAAGCAGATCATCTATCTATATAAATAAAAATGTAATGTTCGTTTGTTCCCATCGATTCCTTTGAAATTTTGACACAACGTTGCATTCAAATACGCACAAGTTTTTATATAATATACATGTTGAAATTCTCCCCACTGGAGGTTTTTTGTGTTTTAATACGGTACATCAAGAGAATGTACACTAAGAAGAGATTTTTCGAAAAATCCCACCACAAGGGAAGCGTTATACATTTATAATAGATACATTTTGAGCCACAACAACATGTGGAGGAGTCTGCTAGTAATTAATAAAGTGGGTATATTGCTTAATAATAAATAAAATCAATTATTATTTAAATGATGAAGTGGCTCTATCATTTTGGGACAAGTATATCCTATATAACATTGTTAAAATCATTTATATTTTTATTTTATTAGTCTTTTTTGATAAAATTATTATACAATATCATAATAAATCAATAGTCAATTCCCTCCTATTGTTTTGTAATGTGCTTATTATTTCTTTATCAATATCATTATTTCACAGTATCACTATCATTCCAGAACAGATTGTATGTATAACTTGGAAAGACTGATGAATGATGAAGCAGAATTTTGAACTTATAATTATGGGAGGAGATATTTGAGGTCAAAATTTTCCATGCAAAATCTGAACCAATTGCTGGCTATGCTACAAGCACTGTATTATGCATTAGTACTAATTTTATTTAAATGAGAATATTTTATTTTTAAATAGTATCATCATCATCTGAGCTTTTTTGTTGATCTTGGTCAGAAATATCAGCAATGTCTTCATTTTTCTTATTTTTATAAAAAAAAATATTTATGGATGACAAAATAAAACTGTTATTAATCGAAAATTTGTTCTAGGGGCCCCTCATTTGTTCAGTTGAGTAACAAACAATTTTTTTCCAGAATTTGTGTTTGAATACTGAATTGTTAGAGTTGGGAATAGTTTGAGTACTAAGATACCACTGTATTTCATTTGTAATTTTTACGAATGATTACTTACTTATGACGAAAGATTAAACCAGTGTTTCTCAACGGGGGCGATATCGCCCCCATGTGGGCGTTTTTCCATGTTCAGGGGGCGATTAGTAACAATTTATATTTTGGGGGCGAAAAACAATTTTCTGGGTGATATAGTAAAACATTATATTAAGAATAATTAGATACTTTATTCGTTATATCGTACAATAATTAAACAAATAACATTATACTAATCACTAGTCTATTCAATGCAGTACGCATTTGGCGTTAGCCTTGTCCCTCGGCATCGGAATTTTGTAGTGAAGGGGGCGATATCACATAATGGTTTTATTGAAGGAGGCGATGATTCGTTAGAGGTTGAGAAACACTGGATTAAACTTTACTAAATACAAAGATTAATCTACAAAACCAAAACACGGTGACAGTCTTAAATGCTAACGTCTGAAAACATCTGAAAACATCAACAATACCTAGTTAAGAGGAAAGCTGGGACAAGGAAGAAAACATTGTTCTATCAGTTTTCAATAAAGTAAATCTGATGAAAGACACAAAACAAATTGAAAAATTCAATATTCTAAAATCCATTGACAAATTTATGACAACACACATGCTTAACTCGAATAAAAAAAAGTACTGAATAACGAAGTTTGCATTAAAAATTGTGAAATTTTGAAGACGATTTCTCTAATCGTATTAGAGCAAAACCAGAAACCATGTTGTATGGGGAATATCCCCAATTTTCCAATTGTGTTAGAGCAGAACCATATTTTACAAGGGATATCCATATACAAACAGTTAAAAATTAGAAAGTTAAATAAATCATATAACCAAAATAGATGATTTTTGAATTGAAGCTAAGTGGTACAAGTTATTTGATAATAGGAAGAGTAATAAGTACATTTCATAAAATAAAAGTTGTGGAAACTTTTACAAAATTAATATTGTAAATTCAATTATATACCTCAAAGCCTGTTATTGATGTAAAATTAATCTAAAAAACTGTGTGGTAAGGTGAGGATAATTCTCACCTTGCTAAAATCCAGCTCTATGTCAGAATCACTGGTGTAATCAAGGAAAGAATTATCCTCACCTCACCATACACAGAACATCTAAGGTGGTTAGAGGCTGTATATATCTACAAATCCAGCCTTAATAACACCTATATCAACCAAAAAAGAGGAATTAAATCTGTCCATAGCATGGCAAGCGCTAACGGACAAAGAGCTATAAATTCTCGTCAGTTGCTACCATCTATTGTGTGCATACCTAATGAGACGTCATCAAGTAACACGTATTTGAATTTCGAATAATGTTCTTATTTAATAGCATTCTAATGGAAATTCGTTGCCGTCTGAAGAAGAACTATTGGAGGTTCAAAAACATTTGTCAAAATCTGTTTTTTCATTTTTTGATGCTAATTTCACACTGGTAACAGGCTTTGAGGTTTGTAATTAAACTTTACTCTGGTGTTGGGTAGTGTGGATTTATTGTAAATTCAATTGTAAAGTAATGCAAGTAATGCTTAAACATTAATAATTATAGTTTAAATGTAGATGTAATGTAAACAATTTGTAAATTAATGAAAATTTTAAACTTATAGAAAGAGATCAGCATTATCATGATAATGAATTAACTCAAATAGAAGGGAATTTACATTGACAAACATATATCAATTTTATAATGTAAGTAATCTATTTTAAATTAGATAAATGTGTTAGTGATCATCATGCTGGAAAAAGCATCAGGGCAATCACAAGAGAAAGGAAATTATCCTTCAAAGGTGTTTGCAAAGTTATAAAAATAGAAGGTTTAGTACTGTTTAAAATCTTCATCGTTCTGGCTGGCCATGGTGCACAATGTCCGAGAATTCTGCATCATTTGGCATAAAGTCACTAACCTGCAGGCTTTCATTCACGCTCTCCAGATCTGTCATTAAAACATCTTTATCAACTATGAGCCATTGACTCAATAAGGTCAATTTTAAAAGATTCTTCGCAAGTCGAGTGCTGTTTATTTTGAAAGTGAACATTGCAAATAGATTAGTCTTTTCAAGGAGCATTTAAACGAATCTGTTTTGGAGTAAAGTAATTCAGTAAGACAAATCAAAATTTGTTCTTGCAGAATTGAGATGGTGCCAAATTGTGGCAAAAGAAGAATATTGCCTACATACCTACCAACTGCATTGGGACCGTAAAGCATTCCCAATATATGATAAGATGGGGTATTTTTTCTCTCCTCACGGACTTGACTGGCTGGCAGAAATCGGCAGTTGCGCGGATACAAAAACGTACAGGAAAATATTAGATAACAATCTTTGTTCTTCATAGCAAGATATGGATATCAACAGTAATTGCGTGTTTCGATGCAATAACCCAAAGCACTCGTCCAAGCTCGTCAAGCATTTTTCAGCTTCCGAGGGATTCGAAGTTCTAACCCGACCACCCAAAGACCGGACTCGAATCGCATCGAACATCTTTGGGACGAGCCGGACCGAAGAATCCTAAAATCGAAGAGGAAAAGCCCACAAGTCTACCGGACGATCTTATTCGACGACCGGAGAATCTCAAAACGAGATCATCAAAGAATCTCAAAACGGCAGGTTAGACGCCACGACATTTACAAGCCGTCGCAGGAGCCAAAGGCGGTCAAACGAAGTATTAATATTTCACTTTTTCCACATAAGTGGAATAAATCTAGCATTATTCAGAGTGACTACTTACTTCCGACATCAGGAATATATCAAAAAAGCTATTTATTTAAATAAAGCAATAAGCATAAACTTAACAGAGAGCACAGGAAATGGGGACTCGCGTAGTTTCGAAATTTAATCCAATTTTTAATTAAGTTTAGTCTGCCAATGCAAACGCGGCATTTTTCTCCATTTCGCATCCCGCCCGCCACCGTACGTTTTCGTCCGGCCAAAAGACTGGCGGCGGCATCGGAAATATCTTTCGACGAAACGAAAACGTAAGAAACAATTACTTTTTAGATTTTCTTCGTAACCTATTACTTGTAAAAATTCATAATTTATTTTGAAGAACGGTAAAGACATTTTAATCGCTAGCATTCATTCATTTTGTCCAAATAGCGTATACTATTAATACATAATCGATTCGACAAGAAAGCGTATACTATTTAAACAAAACAAACGCGTCTTAAGCCGCACTCGGACAAAAATTAGAAGTCCGCAAACGGTTCGCAACAGAGGCACCCGAGCGGATCGTCTCTGCCAAAAAATCCATACGTTCGAGAACGTCTCTCGGCATTTTCTTCGAGAGTCCGTCGAGGGTACGCATCTTTTCGTAAATTAATCGCATACATCGCACGACAACTTTTAGCGAACCGTTTCACGCACAGACCAGTTCCAGCGACTGTCACATTTGAAAACAAACTCCGACATAATGACATCAAGAGTACAGTACACGAAGGGTGAACTCGTTACAAATTCAAGTGTCATTCTAGAACTGTTAACAAACGCCCATCTACACTAGGTTCGTAAACTGATTTCGCAGTATATTAGGACAGCTCTGGAACTTGGCCGGCGTGTAGCTTAATAATTTTAGTAAAACGAATACACACGAACGAAAAAAGTCCAGAGAATATCTAGGGGGCGCAACCGCCTCGTTCGGAGATAAAATCTAGTTTTAACTTTTTAAATTTTGAATGTAAATAAAGACGATAAAACACGCGCTCGGTGATAGAGATGTTAATGCTAAGGTAAAATGCGAAAGAATCATTTGACATTTCAGAAAATCAATTTGTTTTCTATAGCGAATTGGCCACTTACCGAAGACATTTTTTAAGTTTCTTTACTTCGATAACACTTAATAACTTCAAACAAAGTAAATATTTGTTATTTATTAATTAATAAATCGTGAAAATAAAAACTACATAATCAGAAAAATCCTCCCCGTCTTAGGCATCCATATTTGCCAACTAACAGTGTTGCCAACTTATCCGGCATTTCGTTTAAAAAAATAAAAAAAATTATAATGGTAATAGTAAAATATTACATTTTTTAAATGTTCTTAAAATTATAACAAGTATTTTAAATATTTTAAAATATTGTGAAGAAAATTCAATTTATCTAAGCTTTCGACTCTCAAAATGGGATTACTAAAACAGTGTCCACAACACTCGCGCAAACCCATTATGGGTTCGTCCGGGCTGACAATGAGCCTGTCGGGTGGCCCACCGGTGGCCGAGTGGACTCCGTCCCCGTACTTTTCGTGGACCAGTCCCTAAACACTGGGAGTTCGGTGGTGGGTTCGCGCCTGGCTCGGAAGGGCTGGCCACGTGGAGTTTTCCGGGTTTTCTCCACGTCTGTAACGCCCAAATAGGGGCCAGTTTCCCCTAAAAAGACCTCCCGAAAGGCATTATTCCCGCGCGTACTACCCAATTACTAATATTAGCCACTGAATTTTCGCTTTCCACGGGGCGATAAAGCCGCTGTAGCCGATGCCCGACTTGTTATAACCAATAACCAAACGGTCGTGCGGTGAATGACGGATCTCCTTTAAAAATTCTTGGAGTTTTTCGACCGGATTCGATCTGGGTTCTCCGATGGATACGCTATACGTTAACCACTCGGCCGTCTGGTCTGTATCGAACCTACAAGGAATTCATTCAAATTGCGATATATAACACTTCATTTGTATTTTATATATAATTCCATTAAAATTGTATTTGAATGAGAACAATCAAATTCCACTTAAACGATAATTGACTAAAAATATTTGAAGCGTCTTTATTCGTATTAACCTACTCTCGAGCTGTCTGAACATAACTCTAGTTAATTATCAAAACGTATTTCTCCGTCATTTGACATTCCGAACACGAAAGTCTACCGAATGCTGCCATTGCAGTCAATATTCTGATTTGTGTACGTGTGTAGGCCTATATATATTTCTCGGGTAACGTAGTAGGACACCAGATAGGCGAGACTGTTAAGGCCTGGCTCTGGTGAACTCGGGTCTAATCCAGGCGGATAACCCTAAGAATTTTTCGGCCGAGTGGCGTATCGACGCCGTTAGCCACAACCGGTCGCCTCTATTGTTGCCTAGTCGAATCCAAGGTTTATATATAGACTATATATAGCAAAAGACATGCTATTATAATTGCGATTTCATAATGGAAATCAGGGATCAGGGTCTCTGGAAATTTTTATGAGTAGTCTGTCCTCAATACGTAGGACCCCGTCCCTCACCACCCGGACGCCCCAGTGTAAACCTGACCGAATTGGTGATAGGTCTGAAAAAAGGCCTACTTTTGTCCATAGGTTAGAAAGAGATAAAAACGAGAACAATTACATTTTTTATGGTTTTTTAATAAAACTTATCTTTGAAAAATTTTAAAAGATAAAAATAAAAGAGTAAACGCAAATTCTTTTTTTGAAACAGAATACTTTAATTACGGTATTCCGTATTTTATTGCCGGGCCAGCTATAAGACATAAACCCCTTGAAAAATTTGATTTTATATTTGAAACTTCACTCCTCATCGCGAATCATCCGAAACCATAATACAGTACACCAATGCGTATTCTTTTCCCCTGTGAATGGCCGTGTCTATCTCGTAAATTTTACAGTATTTGATATATTAAAAAAAAAAAAAAAAAAAACGATATTCTCCGCGGTTGTTCGGTGACAATCGTGAGAAACATTTATTCGCTGTTATCATCAGAAAGATCTAATCTGTATAATAGGATTACGTCAAGAAGATTGTCTTTGAATTTAATAATTTAAAATTTTTGGCATAATTTTTGATATTTTACAAACGTAAATAAGTCTTTGCGTTTTGTTACTATTCACAATTTCCTTATTCCTCATATTAATTTGAGAAGTACAGAAATTAATCTGAAATTTTCAGAAAAATCTTTAAGATATGGATTAAACGATAGAAAATATACATTCCAGATATGTTTTTCGAAACATTGATTTACTTTTAAATAGACGGAGCAAAAAGTAATAGATAAAATATTCTGGAAACTAAATTCAATTCAATAACAATAGATAACATATCCGGATATTTTATCGTTTCTGTTCTCGTGGTTGACAGTTGAAGAGGATTATTTCGTTAAAAGTGACGTTTTGTCTGAGGATATACATAAAATAATTTCACTTCTTCCTTGAGAATATGACCCAGAGAATGGAAACGTCCTTCGAAATCCTCATCACGCCGATATAAAGAAGCGAGCATCCGTTCCATTCGTCCGATCATTCTCCTTCCAGTTTACCTAAAGTTATCGGCGCCATGTTATTTTATGTTAAAATAATGCTTTTTTCTGTATTATTCGGAGCAGAAGCTGGAAAAAATAGGAACATATCAAAAGTAGGTGGTTAATTTGATGCATTTTAGAAATGAAATTGTCTCATAGTACTGTAATTACTTTTTGTAGTCGGATAGAACCGCGCCTTTGGCTTGGTTTCAAGTAGAACCGTGGTATCTTCAACCGCCGCTTCCTATTCTTACTCAACAATCGGCATTTTCGTCGCCAGATCCTACTCCCGTTCCTTCCCTAGAATTTTCAGGAACATCTCACCAAGGACCGATTGCCGAAAGTAAGTGCCGTAATTGTTTTCGGTCAAGTTCGGTAAACTTTGCCAAATAAATTTTTTTTCACTGATTTATCTTAGATATTCATTGTAATAGTGGACACGGAAACAACGTATTTACTGCCATTTTAAAAGCACCGGAAGGATTCAATTCGGTTCCGGTTTTTAGAGACGCTCCTGGTCAGAACTCCGAATGCGTCGTGAGAAAATCCACTCAAGACGGCAAAATATTTTTGATGAAAATTGATAATTTTAATCGTTGCGGCGTCAACGTATATTCTAACGACGGAAAAGTATGTTTTTATATTTTTTACTTTGATTCATTTAATTATGCGAACACTAAGAGGTCCTTCAGTCCCATCACGGATAGATCAGGTCCTCAATAGGGATGGAACAGAGCCCGACAAATCTTTCTTCCCGGATTCGATCTAGAACTACCCAGAGCGGTAACACGACTTCTTAACCAGCTCGGTCATCCGGTGTCATTACTTATATGTTAGAAAACCTTCGAGGAGACTTTTAAACGTTTAACACGGGTTTGGTAATGGGTTATTTAGAAGATGGGATATTTTAAAACAATCTAATTTAATTCGATAATGAAAAATATTGTCAAGATGGTCGGATGGCCGAGTGGTTGAGTTGGCATCAATCCCGGGTACCTAAAAACGGGATCCGGAATCGAGTCTGGAAAGAGACGAAAAAAACAGTTAAGATACGTCGGGCTCCGTCTCTCACCATCCGGTCGCCTTATTTTGGGCCTGGCCAAACCCATAATGGTCTTATTTGTTATATTTTTAATTGTAAAAACGCAATATAACGGGGTTGGATGGGCAAACGTCATCTAACGTTACGCGATTATAACGTCCCGTGAATATAACTTAAATTACGTCGTGTATTAGTTAATTTTTAAACATTTTGTGCTTTATAAATAATAAAAGTCTATTCATTTTTAGAATTGGATGACCGTAACCATTCGTTTTCCGCACGTTCAAGGCTTAATATTAGCCCAGGATGAATACATCATGTTAATTTGTCAGCAGCAAGACAGAAGAACTTCTAAAAAACATTTTTTAGATTTTCGAGGAAATCTGTAAGTGATCTATAAAATAAAATATTTCTACACGCAATATTCTATGAAAACTCTTTACCGTTTCGATAGACCCAAAGTAAAGAATCCGGTTTTTCGAAATTTGCCCAATGAATTTCAATACGATATTGGATTATTTACTAAATCATTAATGAATGATCGGTTTGAAACGAGAATCATTCCTGGCAGACCCATTCCTGTGGGGCAAGAAGTACAACTGAGAACGATTGTAAACTCTGGGAAAGGTATGCGTAATTTTCAGTCTGTTTTCGGTATTTAACACATTTTTGTAACTTTTTTTGTCACGGCAGGATGGAAATACGCTGCTTTAACAGATGTGGTAATACAGCGATTAAAGAGATCTTCGAACGATTATTCCCCTTCTCCGAATTCCGAAATTCGTTCGTCTCCTCGATTATCTTCCATATTAACCGAGTATGAATTTAATAATATGAATAAACAACACGACTCTTTTCCGGATGACGTATATTTGGTTTTTGAAAATGGGTAAGACTTTTCTAAGAATTAAATTTTTTGATTTAGTTTGAGGGGATAAGACAACGCGATCTACCAAGGGGAAACCTCCCGAAAAGACTTTCTACGGGAAAGTGGCCCGTAAGTAGGCTAATACTATAGGGCCAGTGACACGTAAAGAATATCAGGAAAACTCGATGCCAGCCCGTTGGTCAGACGTAAACCCGCAACCAACTACCGGTGTTATCAAAAAGGAATTTAGTCCAGTCGTCTTATCCACCGGGCTAAATTCCTTTTTGATAAATTCTTCAAACCTGTGGGCATTAAGAGAGTCAATTACAACACCTATTGTGGATTCGATTAAGCGCACAATGGGAACGAGCGATGGGTGAGAGAGGGCCCGACATATCCCGAACATACCGCCCACGAAAAATTCCTAGGATCTTCCCCGGCTTCAATTCCGGATTCTCCAGATCGGTAGACTGATGTCAACTACTCGGGCCATCCGTTCGGGTATTGAAATTGAAAGTAATAATCACTCAGTAGTAGTTCTTCCAATGCTATATAGCATACCGGGCAGCAATTATCTTCCATCGATTTGGATCATGGGCGAGGGCTTCGGCTTTCTTCCAAGTCGCATTGAGCGTCTTCAAATCACAAAGAAAAGTTCTACGCCAAGTATTCCCGGGCATCTTCGTGGTCGTTTGGCATTTCGTGGCTATCTTAGGAATCCTATTGTTCTCCGTACGAAAAATGTGTTTTAGATAGAACGTTTAAAATAAACGGTTAAAAAAAGTAATCACTCGACAATTTTACATTCTTTAGATGTCGCAATCCTATATACACGAGTATAGCGGCTCATCATCCTTTCGTGGATCCTACATCTCCTTTGATTGTTAATTTTAATTTTAAAGCATTTATGTTCGAAGGCGCTAGAGAAGATTATCTGAGAATCTCCGCTACAATCGTTGCTTGCGTGGAATATATCGATTGCCAAAAGGTTTGATTTATAAGTTCATTAATTACGAGTGACGGAAGATAATAAATCTTCAGTGTCGTTAATTTTTATAAAACGTTTGCATTCAGAATCTATGCCCCGAAAACGAAGATAGAAACTATAGAGAAAAAAGAGACGTTTCTAATTCCTCTCAAACATTGACTGATGCGAGCAATAAAAATAAAATTACAAGAGAATTAAATATGAAAGTAATTATGCCAGATTACATTAAAGGTAAATGAAATATTTAATAATTATAAATACTTATTTACGTCAGAAATATTTATTTATTTATTTTTGAATTAAGTTTTAGAACAGAATTTCTCGGATGATGCGGAAGTGAAAAATTCGTATTTTTTCCTTTTCACCATCACTTGGTCGTTATGTTTATTGTTCTCTTTGACCATCATTTTTATAATAATAATAAATAGAAAAAAATGTAAATTTAATTTTTAATAATTTATAAAAATTTATTTTATAATATTATAAGTATTTTGTATAAATTTTCTAAATCATCAAATTTGCCTACTCTTAAAGGGTGCCCCGCTTTATTAAGCGCCCACGGGTCTCTGTTAAATCTGGCGCTGGATGGGTGTATTTTATAGCGAAAATTGTCGATTTGTGTAAGCGGACTTTAAAGATTTAAGTGTCGTGTCTTATATTTCTAATTATTTCAAAATTTAAAAATTACAAATATTGTATTTATCGTGATAAATAAAATTATATATCTTTCGTATAGTATTTGTTTGAATTTTTTATTACCTTCGGTATATATCCTTAACTCTTTCCGATCTGTGGGCACTAAATAGGGCCGTTTTTAGCCAGCCTATTACGAGTTCGGCCAAGCTCGCAACGGGCCAGTCGGATGGTAAGGGATGAGACCCAACCTATCTAGACAAACCACCCCTGAAGAATTCTTGAGGGTTTTTCAACTTATCCGGAATCAATTCTGGGTTCCCGATCTGACGCTTTATCGCCTCGGGCCGAATTTCCACGTTAAAAAAATGAATTTAAAAGTTTTATATTTGCTTTCGAAGCATCCACCGCTTATTATCCGAAAACAGTAACCGAATCTGTAGATAAATTTTAATTTTTGAAGACTCCATTGGTTACGAGATATAGCGACTCAACACCTGGCTATCTGCCAAGGAGAGATGCCTCCGGGGATTTTCTATAATAAATTGGCCTTTATTTAGATATTAAACACGCGAAGAAAACGTATAAAACTCCACGGAGCCAGCCCGTTGGCCAGGTGCGAATCCGTGACTAACATTTAGTGGTTTTATCCATTACACCACGGGTGGGCGTTTGAAAACTTCCTAACGTCGCAATATCATATTTCAAAATCTTGTTTAACTCGTAACATTTAAACAAGTTTTCCAGTTATTTTAAAGACTAAAAAGAAATGTGAAAAGTATTTTACAAGTACTTATTATAACAATAACTCTCATAGATTCTTTAAATTAAAATACAGTAAATTTCCCGGAACATCTTTTATCCACGTGCATTTCCTCTGTGCGGAAATTCTCATCCGTTCGTATACTTCTAATTTTAATCGAGTTTAATTAAAAACAAACACGAGGTAATATATACTACAAAGTCGATCTGTCGCGAATTTTCTGACTTCGCGACTGTAATTCCCCGTGTCGCGTAGAAAATTTATATACAGTGTTATAGTATTTTATTTAAAATTACAAAATAAATTTAAGTAATTACATTATACGTTTATTTAGAAAGCAATATTCAGTAATATTTGATTCGTTGTATGATACGGGCCAACTGTACGTCACGATTAGCCATATTCTTATTACATAATGAGAGCATTGATTTGAAATTTTGTGTGTTTTTACTTTCGGATCCGAATCAACTTCTGTTCGCGTATTCTAAATTTGCCAAATTTTATCGTATCTTTCAAACTAAAATGATATTATCGGGTAATTTGAAATATCTTAAACATTATTTCTCGCTTTATTGAATTGTACGTAACAAGATATTGTAGAAAACATTCTTCAGATCTTCCGCTTACGAAATTTAGCAAAATTTTATCTTAAAATCCTCCAATACTTAAGAAAATTTACTTTTAGTCTGATATTTGTAAAGGACACAATAAAGATATTTTATTTGAGAAAAATATTTATTATATATGAAAATACGAAGGCAGTAACACTGGTCGAATAACGATCGATATTTACAAGAGTTTGTTCCGTAAGAACACTTTTTTAAAAGTTTAAAAATGATTTTGTTTAACTTCCGATTGGCCAGTAATCTTCTAGACGTCCTCCCGTGTTTTGTACGATCCAATCTACGTACTTCAGGACTCGAACGTAGACACCGGGTACTCCCGCCAATCCGCAGTCGATTCCCCACGAAACCAAACCCGCTAGAGCGTAGGTTCCGTCGGGTCTGTAACACACCAGAGGTCCTCCTCCGTCGCCCTAACATTTCAATTTCTCTCATTAGTCAGTTTCCACCGCCTCGCCCAAATCTTTGTCGAGGCGGTGGACTTACCTTGCAAGAATCCAACCCCTTTTCTCCTCCCGCGCATATGAAGCCTTCGTGAAGTTTGTAGAATATTCCTAATCTAGTTTCTCTGAGTAATTCCTGGCATTTAGGATTATCCAAAACGGGAATGTTGACTTCTTTAAGAATGTTGGAATAAGTACCACCCTCTAGACAAAAAAAGCCGTGGTTATCGTTTGTCTCATTTAAAATGATTGATATACCAACGAATTGTTTTATTACTGTAAGCATCCTTTCCCCATCCCGTCACAACGCAGGTTTGTCCTTCGTAGATGTCTTTGTAATTGGGTAAACAGATAGTATCTATGTGAGGGACGAAGATGACGTCTCTGTCTAATGTCAAAACGGCGATATCGTTCCATAAACTATTGTTACGGAATTCGGGATGAGTGATGATTTTCTCCACGTTGTAATCGTCGTGGGCCAAAAATTCGTCCGTGTTCTGCGTGTCCCATTCGCCCAGACGAACTTTGAGTGGATATTGGTTGAGTCCCCTGAAAATTCATATCGATTAGCCGAGTTTCTTAAAGAAACAATTTACATTTGTCATCTCAATAAAATGGTCGTCCATTACCAATCCGCGCTTTAAAATACGACAGTGGATTTTTTTTACTTTTAAGAATTCTCGATTAATTTAAGCATTGACAGCGGAATCGGCCTACCACTCTGGGAATCCTGGATAGATATCCGGAGGAGAACCCGAGGAAAATTTCATGGCGGTAAGTCCCAGATATTTCGGGCTCCGTTTCTCACCACCCGGGGCGAGTGAATAAAACCGCGGTTTTATTCGCTTCAAATTCAATCCAATCCACTATTATGGGCCTGGCCGGATCCACGTTGGATGTGGAAAAAGAATTTCTTAATACACAAAGAGATGAAAGAGCCGAAATAATTCAGTTTTGATATTTATAATGTTATGTTTTAAACCGATAATGGATCAAAGTTCTCCCAGATAAAATCTTTATAACTAAAAGGCAATGTTTTAACTTATTTAAAATACAAATTCTATTTTAAAACATTATTTATTATTTTTTTAAGAATTTTAATTAATTTTCTCTAAATATTTAACTTTCGGTACGTTCAATTAATATAATATATTGGATTTCATCGTAATCGGTTTACTTTATTTGCATAAAACTAGAATAATTAGATCGATTAATTAATTTCTGTAACGTAACAAACATTAGAACTTACTTGTAATGGAAAACGCAATGTGCTACCGTAAGGACGTGTCTCTTATCGATTAGAACACCCCCGCATTGAAACAAGTTGACCTTTCCTTCTACTTTTAAGACGGCTGCCTAAAACCATGACAATGGATTATTAAACATTTCTGCATTTTATAAAAAAAATATTTACAAGAATTAAAAATTTTTCAGAAGGACAATTTCGATATTAATAAAGAATAAACACCAATCGCCTCGTTTATTTTCTATTAACGTTAAAGTTGCCCCCATCTTTCGTAATTCAAAACCAGTTAATCCAGAATTTTGACACTCGAACTCCGTGTCGTTAGTTTAAGGACTAGGATGCTATTTAATTCGAGTTTTCTTTTCTCGTTTTGGTCTAAACGATGGCGATATAGGAGTATCAAATTGAAAATACCTGCCAGGGCCACTCTCCAAAATCGGATTCTCCCTTCTTTCCCGGGGATAGAATTCTACTGTTTATACCGCTGGGATTGCGAACTCCGCATCTATGTTCGTAGGGTCTAGCGGTACTCGATTCTGGCGCTTTGCAGCATACGTGGAAGGCCCCGCAAAATGGCGGCTCGAAATGCTTATCCTTTAATACAAAACAATTCGACACATTACAAAAGGACTGGAGAGTTTAAAAAAAATAACCTTATAAAAAGCAAAATTCATTATTTACGAGTGGCAATTCTTCTTTCAAGGGTGGTTTCTTCCTAGCGTCGATGATGCCCGAGCCGTCGTTGATTATTTCTCCATCCTTGCACTGATAATAAGGCACGCACAAGCAATCCGCGCTCTGATCCGGGATCGGATCTGGATTTGTACTTAATCCTGGATTTGGAATGGCCGACTCGTAATCCGCTCCTCCTAATTTACCATCGGTACCTCCTTCGGAACCGCCGAATTGTTCGTCCTGAGCAATCGCGTATCCGATTGCCAAGAAGATCGTTAAGTACTTCATGTCGAGCGAGCGACCAGAGGAAAACAGGATTTTCATTTGGCACTACCTAAAAAGGTACCGGGCAAAGTAAATTTAAATTAGTATCGAGATGTACTTATAATGGGGAGCGGTAATTAGTGAGGACGGTGCAAACTTACCTGGAGGGTAGCTCGAACCAGCTCGTGTAGAGGCTGACATTTATAAAGCGACAATCGAGTTTTTTGGAGGACGACCAATGAAAGGACCGAGGCCCGGGAATTCCGGCGAAGAAGAAGCGAACGAGTGACGAAGATTGGCGAAGCGCATCACGGGACGAGTGACGTATAGATATAACCTTCGCGGAAACGAAAAAATTAATCGGGTAGAGGTGTTTCGTAAAACATAGAACTTTTTTCTAAGAAGCGCGCACAAAATCACGTGCAAAAACTATATACAGGAAATGTATAAACGGGTGAAAGGCAACGACATTCGACCTTTCGGCTTCTCGGTTGCCTTTTCGGCTACGAAATTGTCATTAAATATGCCGACAAATTATTAAATTAACAAAAATTCTTAGAAATTATTCATTTGTTACGTGGGAAGAGGACGGGTTACTAGTTTTGTAACTTCTTCAAAATTTTGACATCAGAAAAGAACATCGAAACACGATTCTTTTACGCAAAAGCGTAGAGGCTTTTCGTTTTTTCCGAGTAAATTCGTGATTATAACCGAATTAAACACCTTCCTACACCTTTTTTGTTGTTAAAATGTTGCGTAACTTTATGTTACTGCGGAGAATCTTCAATTTTCTTCAACCGGTTGCTATAAAATCCTACGAAGTGACGTTGTTAAGTTCATTCTAAATTAATTTTCACGAGAGTTTGCTTATGACATTTAAACGAAAACAATAAATATTTTACTGTTCTAAGTACGGGAATTGATTTAATTGTTGCGCGACACGTGTTTGAGGTCGTTGAATCACGCGAATTTCGTCGCTAACAATAACAATATCCGGTCACGGACCTAATTAATTACTCATATCGGAAACTGTCTTCTCGAAATATCACGAAAGGAAGCGCATGACTTTCAATATTTATTCAATTTGTATGAAATCCTTCGACCGTTTGCGTACAATTCATAGTAGATGCTGAAATAACCCGAAAGGGATTCTACCTTTAAAATTTCCCTTCCATCTTCAACAAAAGTTAATGAATTATCGATAAAGGTCAAAGGTAAAGAATTATATTCAATATATAATTATTCACCTTTAACCTTCTATAGTAGAAGGTGATTAAAAGTCAACCGTGCACTTAGACGCGCGCAACCATTACGCGATCATCCTCTGTTCCTTTCATTAAATAGCATCTAAAATAGCGAAAATTCAAGTTAAATATTTATATTTTTAAGTAAATAATTAATATAATACGAGTTCCAAAAAAAGGAATGTCACTTTACTACTCGAAAGTAAGTCGTAACAACAAGAAGGCGGGAATAGAGTAGGAAACTAATAAAATGCACAGTTTATACATAGATACAGTGATATATTACCAGACAAAATCTGTATTATTTCTTCCATATAATGTATGTATAACTTATATATACATACGCAGTCAAACCTCTGAACAATGAACACTGATAAAAACAAAAAATTCTTTAAAGAATGACCACTATTCAGAGGCGGTCGATACATTATTTATAAGTACGAATTACTTGTTTTCAGAAGCCTGTTATAATCCGAAAATAATTGATCCGATAATTGTTATTTTTTACATTATACACGTAAGTATACTTGGTGTCAATTACCCGCGTGTTACGTGATACGAAACCTTCTATCGCTCCGTTTCTATGGCGCAATGCTAAACCGCGATACAGCGCTAAGCAGTTTGCCTGGTTTAGGGCATACAATTATTTCGTTTAATGTCATTCACGAGTCGTAACTCGACTGGAAAATCTCGTAATCGAGTCACTCGGGCCTTCTACCATTACTTTTAATCGTAGATTTTCGAGAAAAACCAATTAACCTACTTTAAAAAAAATAATCGATAGAACTTCCGTCGATGAGGAAAATGTCGAATTTCAATATACGAGGGAAGTTTTATTAATATTTTTCTCAGTCTTCGTCGATAAAAATCTGGAAAAGGATTAAGGTTGAGGTGGGTAGAGACTCGTCCGACAGGTATGACAAGGTCGAATCGTGTACGGGTGAGCTTTTTTCACGCTTGATTGAAAAACATTATCGGATAATCTCGACTAAAGTTTAATTGTTAAGTCACTTTTCTTCCAAACACTTCGATTAAAGGAAAATTAGGAAATCGAATGATGGACAATGATCCTAATAAAGAGGAAAACGTGATATTTTTTAATTACGAGAGATAAAACTATAATCAATTTTCTTGCTTTTATAAAAAAGATTTGATTGGAGTAAGACAACGTAACACGCGGGCGATCTGTCGAGACGAGATTCTTCCCGGAAGGACTTCTATGAGAAACATAGGTGAAGAGTCTAGACGACCGGTGGCCATTTGGCTAGCCAGTTGACCAGGGGTCAACCCGCTATTCGGTGTTTTTATCTACTTGGCCACTGGTGGGATCGAATAAATCTCTATTGAAATTTTACTCCTTTCGCTTCTAGCGTGTCCTTTCGCTCTTACACTTCCTACTTCTTTTCAGTTGATATTTTCTGTTCTATAATTACGCTGACGTAGAAGACTCGAGAATACATTTATGAAGCGAATTTATAGACGTATACAATAGCTATTTGTATTTATTTTTGAATCCGAACTTCCTCCTACCTACGCGACGAAAAAATGTACACGTTGCGGGGGTTATTTGTAACGCTACGTTGAAAACTGATAAACCGAATAATTCGAAAATATCCTTTCCGCTTACCTATATATTATCTATAGCTTAAAGTATAATAAATATTTAATTATAATTAACAAAACAAAATTTATGATGCTGATTTTATTTTATTGTTTTTTTTTTAAAAAAGAGGAAATAAATAACTTTAAATAGGGGGACATTATAATCGCTACATAGTGCGTACAATATGTATAATTTTAAAATGTAGTAAAGCTGAATTATTATGGAATACAAAATATAAATAATACAAAATGGCAGCCAAGATGGTACGTTCCTCCGTACCGAAATATAATTAAATATGAAGTACAGATAATGTCCACGGCTGGCGAACTAACCGATTTTATGAATGATATTTTCTATCCATGGTCGAAGATTTGCCATGTTGACGTATACGCCCGGAATTCCAGGTATTCCGCAACCTATCCCCCAGGATACCAATCCTACTACTTTCCAGATTCCGTGGACTTCGCAAACCATAGGACTTCCTCCGTCACCCTGCAACGAATTACGTACTTTTTATGAATATTTTATACACTAAGAATCACGAAATGTTGTTAGAATGGTACTTACGGTGCAAGCATCTTTGCCGGGTTCTCCCCCGGCGCAAACGAAACTGGGATGCAAACGATAGTACGGACCGAGACGAGTTTGATGAAGGCGATGCTGGCAATCTTTGTGGCTCAAAATTGGCACGTCTACTTCTTTCAATACGCTTTGGTACTCACCTTTGTGACCTAAGACGAAATTTTCATTAATATATTAAAATCAAGCGGGGGTTGACGACTTTAACTTCTCGTACTCACCGAAGGCGCTTTTTCCCCATCCTGTGACCCAACATCTTTGTCCTACGAATAATTCGTGGGGTTCTGGTAAGCAAGCGGGTGTGATGTGGGGTAATTTTGGATCCATAGGAGAATCCATCTTAATAAGAGCTATGTCGTTAGCGAAATTTCCCGGAAAGTAGTGGGGATGAACGATAATGTCAGCCACGTATTTTTCTTTGTAGGGATAGAATTCGTCTCCTCTGTGAACGTCCCATTCTCCTAAACGAATTACGATATCATCCGGGCCGTGCCTAATTTAAAGATCAAATAACATTCTTGATTAATGTCGACAACGGGACAATTAAATTTCGAAATTTTTTCAGTTGTAAAGGGAAACTCGATTAACATTCGCCACGTGAATATTAATCGAGTTTCAGTGGTTCAACAAACTCTATGAATTTTTTATTTTTATAAACCGCATATCTTACTTTTTAAGGCAATGAGCCGCTGTTGCGATCCATTGAGGATGGATGAGGACTCCTCCGCAAACGTACAAACTTTCGGAAGGGCCGGTTTTTTTCAAAATGGCAACCTAAAAAATGGCATCGATGAGCCTTAGTAATTAATTAATTTTCACTTTTATCTGTGAATTTGGACCTCTCCTCACCAAGAACTGATACTCACGTGCCAGGGATATTCTCCAAATTCTGCAGAATCATCGTAATACTGCAAATTTTGTACTCTTCCGTGAATTCCGACGGCATTTCTAACACCACAGGTTTTGTGGAAATGTCCGGGATGGATGCCTATTTCGCCCGGATAAACAGGTTTGGGTTTTGGCAAACCGATGCTGGGATTCGGAAAAAGAGGAGGCCTGACGATGGGTGGCAAAGGCTGGTTAACGGGATTCGGATGAGGATGATGAATTTCGGGAATCACCTGATGAATCGGATTGGGATGAAGAGGAGGAAGAGATCCAACGGGCGATATGACGGGTGGAATTTTACAGCATATTCTCATATAACCGCATCCATCGTCGGGTAGACCGATGAATCGAGCCATGACGTCGGAAGCATAATCCGCCAAGTCCGTTTGATGCTATAAATGTAATAAGACCGAAGATCGAATTGTGTTCTTCATTACAAGAGATAAAATTCAAAAACGACTTACTTTTGTGGCATTAGTTTTATCGTTAACGATTCTTTCCTGAGCCACATCCTCCGAGTTTTGCGTGTGGTTTTTCTGGTCGAAATAAACGGCTCCTACATTGGCGCTTCTTTCGTCCACGAGATCTTTGTTTCGGCCGAAATCCTGCAGAAATCCATTCTTGCACAGGTAGAAAGGAACGCAAATGCATTGATCCCGTTTGGGAATAAGTTGGTTGATATTTGGTCTGTGGATATGTTCTATATATTTGGGTTCTTTGTCGGGAAAATGGTGGCTTTGTGGATGAGGGTAGATGGGTCTGTGAGTATCGACCACTTTCTCTTGATACAAAGGACGATCGATCGAACTCGAAGGATATTTGCCAGGTGTTCCTGGATATATTGGTGATAACTTCCTGTTGTCGAAGTTCGCTTGTACATCGGACGGATGAGAATCTCCTTGACTTATGAACTGCTTATGAGCATTTATGATGGGTGGCAAAGCAGATTTTTCGGGTTTATATATCGGATAATCGTAGATGGACTCCTGAGGTGTTTCTTCGGATTTATCCACATCGTCTAGGGTGACTAAAGGAATGAATCCACTGACTTTGACCTTTTTTCTATCGTTAATGATTCGCCCCTGTCTGCTACTACCTTTAAAATCGAAAAGATCTAAATCGATGCTCCGTCCTTCGGTGTCGTTGCTGGCAGAAACAGATGTTTCGATGTCTGTTTCGTTGTTGCTGGAAATAATTGGCTGAAATTTTTCTGTAGTGTTTTCGGTTGTGAGCGGTTCCAAGAAAACTCTCGCTCGTCTTTTGTAATCTGTACAAAGAAAAGTATCAACAGTTGAAGTAAATACAATTGCTTTCATTTCTTTACAAATTATTTTTTAAAAATGAAAGGTGGAGGAACTTACTGTTTTCATTTTGTGCGTGCAAAAATGACAAGACAGACAAAACAACAACTGCTGTGAAAGTCTTCATTTTATAACCTGAAAAGATAAGAATTGTTAACGTTTTGTCAAATCATTCTGAGGAAAACAAGCGTACAAACAATCTTAAAACACGTAAGCTATTATATTTTACAGCATTATCGACAGAGACATTTCTCTAGTCGACATTCGACCTACATTTCTATTTTCTTCTCTACGTGTAATCCATTTGGCGTTCACTTTGTTAGAGAGGAAACGATGAACCGATTACCAACAGAGAAATAAGTTTCTAGGTCAAGTACTAGGCCAGGTATAAACACATTATTATAAGTTACAAAAACACGGCGAAACCGAAAATTTAAAACCAAATAAAATTAAATTATTAATCAGATCTTCGATTTGCAATGCATTAAAATTAAAATGTGAATGTATACATTTTATATTTTTCTATTTTTCGCAAAGACTGCGCATTGATTGCTCTCATACATTGTACAATATGTTAAGTGTTCGATTCCTTAACGCAGTAGCGTAACTAGAGAGAAGTTCAAAGCCCACTTTTAAATAAGTAAATTGAGAAAAAATAAATAAATACGTACAGCAAAATGCTTTCAACACATTTATATACAACAACTGGGATTACTCTTCATCCACAGCACTAGTGTCTACATCAACACTGGTATTCCTATATCGGTTCTAGTTTTAATACCATATTTTTCCATTCCAACTTAACGTTTAAATTTTTTCCCTATTACGAGCGACTAAAGACCAAATCCTGTATTGTTGAGGTGGGTGGACTGTCTATTTACCTTCCTACGCGCTAGATCCGAGTAAACATATTTACGCACTTTTGAAGACTTAAAATGTGAATTTTCCTAATGAAGATCTCATAAAACTTTCTGTCAATCCTAAATATCGTTAACGAATTGCTTCTTAAACTTATATAAGAGCAACTCAAACACAGATATAAACTTTATCTCTATTATACACTCCAATTAAATTTATGTAGTAAATATATAACGTAAGACACGTATCAAATTTTACTTACCTTTAATTTGTAGTGTGTTTTGTCGAAGAAAAGTCGCGAATGGATCTCCTTGTGACCCACATGTCTTTATATAGTTCTAGAAAGAGGTCGATGGCTTCCTTTCGGTAAAGACTAGAAGGAATTGGAAAACCCCTACTCTAAATACACATTCGACCCATAATTGATAAATATCTGTCTTTCCTTATGCAACAAACACTTTAGAAAAACTGGAGGTTGTTCTTTATCGTCATTATCCCGTTCGACAATAAAAACTTACTCCCTCGTTCGCAATATAAACGTAATATGTTCTTTTGTTATTCGAAACTATGTAATAATATAAATAATGTTAATTATATTCTCAAAATAAGCGATTTTAAAGATTATCCGTTTAGTAATTTTGATATAATTTACAGAAAACCCTTCAAATTATAAGGCTAAGGTTGAAGTTGAGGATTAGACTAAGGACACCGATTGAGATTATCGTGTAATTCTCGTTACTTGTAAGAATTAATTGTAATCGGACGGTAGAAAAACTTTCTTTTTAATCTATAGAATCGAACCTAAAGTGCCTTTTGATAACATTATCCGTTATTACGGAAGTGTAATCGTCGGAGCGAAACCCTTTTCTTCTGTTCGTCCGAGCAGAAAGGTTAAACTATTTTAGAATAACATAACTAAAATGGATTCGTCTCGATCATAGAAACATCTTTTAAGAGCGCTTTCATCCCACAATTGTAGGTCTCCGCCATATAATTATGTAAGAGATATCGAGCTTGCTTATTGCGACAAGTAGTAACACAATTCAACACCAATGTATTCTTTATTGAAATAAATCTTTACGGCTTGTCTATTGAAAACTTTTGAAATGTTACGACAATTATTTATTTTTAGTTAATGTTTTAGGTAATTCGGGTTGGGTTACGTTCTACGAAAACCTTTCTCATAACCTATTTAATTAAAAGTGGGCTTACGTGAATAGCGGCCCGCGGTTTCCGATTCTATAGGTACATTTTTTAAGGCTCGTCTCCCCACAAATTAAGGCTAACGAGTTGTTCTCGTGGCATAGTTTAGTTATATCTTAATCCAATCTACAATACGAGCAACCGGATGTGTTCATCCGAAGATCCCACGTTTTACCGTTTTTAGTATAGAAGTCTTCGTGCTCTCATTTTTTCTTCAGTTACCCACGCGCCAGTTTTCGTGACGTTCGAACCCTCCGTTATTATTTTAAACTATTATCCTATAAAATCTCAAAATTTTATCATAAAATACGTATTTGAATACAAGGTTAAGTTACGTGACGTAACGCTCTACGCACCGTCGAGTAACGTAACAGTTAGCAAATTACTATTGCGTTACTCGAATCGTTTTGTAAATTTAAACAAACTGAGAAATGTTCGCAATTAAAAACAAGAAAAAAAAAAACAAAATCTTTTAATTATGTTTAACGTTGGCTCATTTTTACGGCAAAGCAACGCGTGCGCGATCTGCCAAGATGGACTCCGAAAAACGGGCCTCTATTTAGGTGTTAGAAATATGGGAAAAAGAACTCGGATAACATGGCGGTAAGTGATGAACCACCACTAACCGCTAGTATTCGGCGTTTTTCTACGGGCAAACTGGCTCCTATTTAGGTGTTAGAAATATGGGAAAAAGAACTCGGATAACATGGCGGTAAGTGGTGAACCACCACTAACCGCCAGTGTTCGGCGTTTTTCTACGGGCAAACTGGCTCCTATTTAGGTGTTACGCGTGCGAAGAAAGCCTGGAAAACTCTACGAGACTAGCCACTCGGCCAGGCGCTCACCCACGAAAAATTGCCCGTGTTCGGAAATGTAACCATTCGGCCACCGGTGGGTCGCGATTCCAGCTCTTAAAACAAATTCAAATTTAAATAAGAGCCGTAGTAAGCTACACGACGTGTCAGAAAAGTTTCTTTAAGTTACACTAACTGGCTACAGATAATACCGTGGTTAAACTTGGTAGATGCTATTGGAATTTCTTTTATACAGATTATCTAAGATCCGAAACGTGTCTTATACATAAAATACTGAACTTTATTATTCTATACTGATTTAAATACGAGAAACCGATAATATTTCAACGATTCGTCATATCGAGATTCGAGTTCTAATCGAATAATAACGAAAAGGATAAAGAATAAGCCATGCGGAACAAAATAGGCGCGAAATTTTCAGAAATTAAAAAAAGACCAGAAGAGACGAACTGTAAAAATGTCACGTACTTATAAATCAAGATGGCGGCCAATGACGACGTAAGAAATCATTTAATTTAAACAGTCTCTTCACACGCTGCACTAATATCATTTTTGAAACGAAATGTTTTATCCAGCGAAGTTCTGAAATAATCGAATGGCATTTCGCGACAAATGTATTCCGTTTTCTTGTCCGTACGTACGCGTATCGAAGCGAACGTGATAAATAATTTGAAGATTAAATTTATAATAGACCCATTTCATTTTATAAACATGAAGTATTTTTTCATTTCCTCTATTAAATCCTCGTTATATTTTAATAGAGAGGTTGCGGCTGAAGTTTTCGTGAGCGCCGCTCGACGTTCGACGTTGGCGTTTGACGAATGAAAACTTCGGCCGCAACCTCGCTATTGAAATTTATTCGGAAACGTCGAACTTCGTACTTCCGGTTTTCCGCTATTTCTCTATTTTCTCACGTTGTGTTCTTTCGTTCCGTGTAATGATGTTTTCGTTAATTTTCCAACCAATTTTAAAATTAATTGCTTCGACTTTAATATGTACTCGAATTTCTCTATTGATTTTCTCCAGACGACAGATGGACGAAGGGGAAAACACGCATTTAAAGAAACTTACCCTTATTTCCTTTTCTCTATTCAAAAAAATCACTTTCGCGTTCCGTTAGTAAATTGCGGGGAAAGCTTTGCCTGAGGAAAACTTAGGGGTCGTAGCGATTCCTATCCGTACAAAATCAATTTTCTTTTTAGTAACAGAAAATAAAATCTTTAAGACTGCTTTTTATTAACAAAGAAACATTTTACGTATTTCGTTCGATCAAAAAAGAAAAGGTTACGGGTGCCGACTCTATCACTGGACCCATACAAACCCTCCACAATACGATAAATTGTTAAGTTATTAGAGACAAAAAAAAGACCTTTTTCTTCGCTCCATTGTTTAAATAAGAAGAAAATATTTTTGGGTGTTTTTCTTACACAAGTTTTCTATCATTCGCGCATCAATTTTTCTTTATTTTTTGTAGTATTAAAATCGTGATGGATGTAAACACGCGCGTCATTGGTGATCGTCGCGACGATGTCACGTAATCGGATGGCAGGGAATCGCGCGATAAAGTTGGCCGATGACCGAAACTCTAGCACGTAGTTGGAATAAACCGATGCTTTCACCTTAAATCACATATTCATAGAATTAGGTGAGAAAATGATCACGAGGCTACGAAAATGTATCTTATACGCGCGTCTTTATTAATTTATTTGATTTCATAATCGAATGCACTATTTAACAAGGGGGTAACTCGTATCAATTCATATTTGGAACTAAAACTAAATATGAAATTTTAATAAAATACTATATTTAAAATTTTTGAGTCGTAAATTATTAAATAAACGCAAAACACTACCGTAAAAATTTAGTTACAAACACCCAATTCGCAATTTAAAAAAATGTTTTCCATAATTTACAATAGAGTAAACGGAATTAAACAATTTAATTCGAATTTTGTGCTGTTTTCTTCAAATACTAATTAAGTCGATGTTTGTTGTTTAAAAACCCCGCAGTGTCGCTCTTATATAACGAGGTCGATAACATTAAAAAGTGGATGGATTTTCCCGAGAAAAATCTGAGAGAAATTAAAGAGGATTTCCCCGACTTCATAAGCTGGTGTTTTTTCTTTCTTTTCGCTCGCAATTCGCTCTAAATAGCATTTAAGACACAAAAAAACTCTAAATACATTTCAAACTTTCCAAAGTCCAAACCTCGTGTATTAAAAATTATTCGTTATAACAACGTCGCGGTGACGTCTAAAGCGAATTTTTACTTTTATTTTAAGTACTGTAGTATTTACAGTTTTATTTAATTACGCAATGGTAACGTTACTAGGAACCGAAATTCGAAGTAAAGAAGGAAATACGATAAAGGATCTGTAATTATTTTTACCCTCCGAGCGTATCCTTACTTTTGCCAATTTAATTATATTGTTTGGGATTTAGCCTACTAAGAATTTTCTCATTTTAATCGATTATTTTGAACAATTAAGCGATTGCGTACGCTACTCGATTAAATTAATCAAGGTTCTGTTAGAAAAATTTCCACTATAAATAAAGCACTAAATACTTCGAGGTCGCAAATATACTCGCTAACTCTTAATAAAATTCTTCGAAAGGAAATAAAACTAATTGTTTTCTATAAAAGCTTTCTCTCGAAAGATCGGAGGGGGAAAACGATGACGTAACCATAGCCCGCGGGGGTCGGGGAGGAAATGTTCGACCTTAGCTGGCGTCTAAGTAGGACGCGTACATCCTGTTTTACCTAACAAAGGAGAGTATAAACCCATTCGACGGGATATCTATCCACGCCTCTCCCGGGGATACCTTGGCTCTAATATACAGTCGGCCCCCGTATTTTACAAATACTCGAGCCGTTCACAGCCCGGCACACGTATTTGTAAAATCTAAGTGACTCGTACAACATGGAATTCATATAAAACGGAATTATCAAGAGTGTTATAGGGGGTCGACTGTATTTTTCTCCTCAGGATTTTTTAATTTCCGAACACTCGTTCGTATTTTATTCTCAACGATTCAAAACGATGCGTATTGTCGAAAGACAAAAGTCGGAATGCCTAGTATCCAATTACGTAAGTGGCAACGCGAACGTGAGGACGTCATATAGCACCACGTGACATTCTCGATACATTCCTGTAGCTATTAAAGTAAAATTGATACTCAAAGTTCTTTTCCTTAACGTGTAGAATGCTCTATCCGTCGGGGACACTGTCCTTTCTTAAGACATTCGACACGGAGCAACCAACCCGATCGTATCTCGTGTTTAAAATTAGTGTTCCCAGTATATCTTCGCTCGAGGGTGGACGTGATTCGTAGACTAGACGTTGTTTTTATGAAACGAACACTGTTCGAAGATCTTTTCGAAAACAAATTATGTAAGTCTTGATACATAACAGATTTCCTCCGCGTTACATCGGGACACTTTTAAATGTTCCGATACCTCAAAAAACATCTGAAGACTAAAATTCTGGTTTATTATTATTATTCTGATATTGCGTGACAATACATCTAATATTTTGTATATACCTATTATTAAAATTCATCCTGGACACGAAACATTTTCTTATGTACGATCAATCATCATCATATTTCGTCCAGGATGAGCGAAATATATAGATGTCATGTGGTAGAACTTTTATGACCTCATACATATTTATATTTAAAACCGCCCGGATAACTTCCTCCTTCAACCCCTTTTGAAATTTATTTAAATACGATAGTTTGTTTAGAACACTAACGCGATTATTTCATCAATTATAACGGCATAATTTTTAATTACTGGTATAATACTGGAAAAACTCTGTAAACACAAGAATGGCGCATATCTCCTTTGCGATTATTACAAGCACTCCGCGGACAGAACTACACAAACATTTATAAAAACTTTTAATCATTTAATTTCGGAATTTATTATATACTTTCGACGGAAAAATATAGAAATTAATGAAATTTTACACACTCATTGACAAAAAGTTACACGTTCAGATAGAAATTTCACATACAGCTAAATAAAGATACAGTACGTCAAATAAAATTGCCCGTCAATACCTCGTTTACTGTTGAGAGGCACCCTTCCTCCCGCTGGGGTGCAGCTCTGAAAGCCATCTCATTTGACAGTTGCTACAAGGGAACGTACCACTGATGTTACAGTGGTACACTCAAGAAATTCTGAGCCCTTGAGTAGCCTTTCACAGCAGGACTGCATATAGCCATTTTTCAAGATAATACTTGGGCGCACGCAGCTAGGATTTCCTGGGAACGTTTCCGTCACGTCCACCTCCAGATTTGTCACCCATGAAACAGCTTTGGTCATCTATGAGCCAGTTCTGGAGTGGCAGTTGCAACATATGTGGGTAATCCGTTGCAGGATAGCATACCGTGCTTCTATGCCTCCGTATCACCATATGCAGCATCCAGACGAGAAGGTCCTGCAAGATACTAAAACAGGGATCGCAATTTGGCGGCCCGCGGTCTTGATGATTTCTTTTCTAAAAATCAATCTTTTCTAACATCTTGAGGTAATTAAAAGAATAAAAATTCAAACGTCTAACTGTATATGTAAGTTGTAAAGGCCTGGCAACAAAAAAGGCATTTGTTAGAGCCTTTTTTTAAATTACATTATACAGTATTTTAGTTTACCAAATAATATTGAATATGGCCCGCATCTGATATAACGTATTTGACTTGCTCTTTGCTGCATTTGAGTTTGAGACTCCTGTACAAAGATTCATTTTAATTGTACCACTGTTCCACAGGAAATTGTCCCTTTGTTATGATATTGTAATCAGTTGTTTGCACTAATAGTTTTTGCTTGATTCAAAAGCCTCCTTGGTATCTAACTTTTTTGTCAATGAGTTTAATTTATGTAACAAAATGTGTATTTACAATATAGTCTGTTTGTTTACATCCATAAGTATAAAAAATTGTGTGTATTTGTATTTATACATATACTGTATATTTATTTTGTACAATGATGGGATGTTGTGAGTATTGCATACAAGATACAGGACTCTCTCATCAATTGTTATAAGAGATGTAGAGAATTCCTGAGATAAATGAATGGAGTGCTATTTTCTTGTTCATTCCTCTTGCAATTTCATATACTCCATGAAAATGTGGTGCTATTGTGTATATTTTCTAGAAGACCTTGATCCATGTGGTCCATTTGGTTTTTTTTATCTTAACCAATTAAGATCAATCGATTGGTTCCTTGTGTTTATCTATAAATTAATCTGGATTTTTTTAGTTTTAAATATATTTCACAAAACCTTGTATTTTAAATAGTCTAAATTAAATATGGAATGATATCAAAAAAGTGTTGTGCACTTTTTTGTTTTAATCACCTAAAATCAGATTTTAGTTTCCAGATTCCTCGACTGTCGGCGGAACGATAAAAATCGCAGATCTGGTTTAACAGAGACTTAAAAATGGCAGTTGATTTGGCGGGAACTTTGTCCTTGAAAACCCTGAGTAGCTCTTCGGTGGTGGCCTGTCCGTCCACGCTGGCTCCGAATGCTATATAATTCCTGACTTCCACCAATAATTCGTCGTGTTCGGTCGCGGGTTTGGAACCCAGTGCGGGTGCTTCCGGTTCGTTGGAATGTGATGTGGAAGCCACCACCCCGTTCCGCACCTTAATTCGTGCAAGTAAATCTGAAGATGAAGTTATTGTTACTTTCTGCTGCTCTGTCTCCAAAATGTTGTTCGAAGATGAGGTTCCTATTTCTGATTTTGGTTCCGTATAACAATTGCTTTCAAATCTTTTCTTCTGTCCAAATCTCTGCCTATATTTAAATTTGCAATTAGACGAATTTCAAAGTATTATTATATAACAAAATTGTAATGTGCAAAATCAATTTACCTGACAATTTTAGGTGCACCAGAAATACCCTGGGTACCTGTCCACGTGGGAACACCATACTCCGCTCCCAAGCATTGACGCCTCGAGTGTTTCAGTGCTTTAACTGCTTCTCGAGCCACTCTCTCTGCCTCTCCCTCAACAAGAAGATAATCAGGATCGGCAGAATCCATGATTTTGTCGTGTTTCATAGCTGTAAATATTTCTGCCAAGAGAAACATTCCATATACCAAATTTATAATGTAAAAATACATTTTATATATTCAATAAATATAATCAACCTGATAATTATTTCAAATGTCAAATGAACAGCCAGATTATTATTGGGCTATAACGCTTAATAATTATTAATTAAGCGATTTGGCAGGCAATTTTGCATTTCTTGTTAAATGTAATAATTATAAATTAATTTAATTTATAATTATTACATTTAACAAGAAATGGTGGCCTGCCAGTCCCTTCTGCCAAATTGCTTAGTAATTATTTAGCCTTATAGCCTGATAAGAATCCAACTATTTGATTGGTATTTTGAATATAATTTAAATGACTCACTTGATTTTTTAAATAACTTGTGTAAAACATAATCATCTTTTTTACTTTCTTCTTCTTCTTCTTCTTCCTCGACTGGAGGGCGATAAACATCCTTTTTCACTAAATACTCAATCTTCTGGTCTTCGAAAACTGAAAAAAAAAAAAAAAAAAAAAAAAATTTGATCAACACGTGACTATTAAGAATAGGATATTACGTGATAACAATAACCATAGCAAGTGATGTTTTCTTAATTATACTTACCACAACCTCCTGTTTGAATATTTCGTTTCTTTTTATGACTTTCGTTCTTCTTAGTCATATTTTTAGAAATTTCTGGAACTTTTTCCAGCATCTGTTCACTTTCCATGTTTACTCCTCCAGCAGCATTATCCACAGGAGTGTTATTCTTACAAGATTTTTCTAACTTTAGTTTTGAACTGATTTGTTTGGCTAATTGCTTCATCTTTTTAATTTTTTCTGGACTAAATGCAATCTTGTTTTTCTTCTTGGGCCTTTTATTAGAAATCTTCACTTCTGATCCTGTCCCTGCAAAAATGGCGCTGGTTTCGGTTTCGGAAGATTCTTTGTCTGGTTCCCCCAGAAAGAAGAGTTCATGCAAATGATTAGTCTTAAAGAAACGTCTCTGTCTGGGATCTTTCAAAACGCGGTTTGTTAAGAACTGTTTGAAGATCTGTCTGCAAGATTTATTTATAAATAAAAATATTGTTGTGTCTGAACATTTGCACTTAAATTACATTGTAAAAATGTAAAAAGAATTCTATAGAATAAAAGTTCATTAAGTAAAAATTATCTAACAAAAGAATCTTGAACACATGCAGGATGTTCATATTCGGACTGACACATTTTGAAAGATTATATGTAAAATTACATAAGAACTACAATAAAAGTAATATATGCAATTTGAAGAAACTTGTTAAGTTTTATTGCAAAAATCAATACAGTTCTATCTTTACTCCTTTTTACATAAAATCTCAACAAGTGCTCTGACTGTTGTAAGGAAAATATGTAAATCATGTTCAATTTCATGCCATGTGTTCTGCAACAATCATGGCATAAAAGATGCAAGTGTCCTGTATGAGCACAGGAAGTTCATTGAGGTCAACTGATTTTGATATTGCATAAACCCTGTTTTTCACATATGACCAGAGGAAGAAATCTAGAGGTATAATGTCAGAATTGTGGAAACCATAGTGCCACAACTAATTACTCTGCACACCTCAAGTAATTCTAGGGAAAGTAATGCTCTTTCTCATACACATTAATTATGTCTAGCTTTATGCAGTAAATTTTGGCAACAATTTTAAACATGTTAGTTTCATCCTGAGCACTCTGTATATGAGATATTTGAAAAAGATTGTCAGTGTTATTTAATTTCTCTGACATATGGTAAATACATGAAATAAAAGTGGAACTTTTTACTTCAGAAATTACTACTGCTCAATGTGGACATCTTTTGTAACATGACACACAAACAGACTATAGTCACATTCTTGCCACACACTGATCAGTGTCTGGTGTAATGGATTTAACAGTCATGACAATCCTATCTTAATTCAAGCAAACTGGCAGATAGCAGTGGCAAGTAAGGTATTTCAAATTTATCCAGACATCCATTAAAAGCAACTTAATAACAAAAGCAATGCATTGTTCAAGTCCAATATATACAAAACAATATTTATTTACTATGATTTGACATGATACAATAAATGATGAAAAAAACATATAGTACTGTTGCTTTATAGATATCAAAACCAGAAATGTATCAAAGTAAACTGTTTCAAATTTATCTGGATAGATATTACTTTTCTGTGGCATAAACTAAAATATGATAATATTGTATAAGTAATGTGCAACCCCTGCAACCCCCTATGACATGTCTATATGAATTGTAGCTTTAAAAATGGGAAGAACAAAAATTTTATTCCTTTATGAACAGGATAAATTGATGCATATAAATCAGTAGGAAAATTGGTAAGGGAAATGTTGCACTTGTTAACAGACCAAAATCAACTGTAGGTGATTACTTATCAAGATGATAGATAGAGAAAAGCTATCACCAGCTTTAAGCTCTGTAATAGTGTAATTTTATTAATAATATATAAAAAATATGTAGCGAAAGATGAGGTAAGATGGTAATGTTAAACTTTTTTTTTTATTTAAAATAGAGCTGAAATAGTGTGAACATTATTGTTTCATTTTGACAAGTTTGACTATTACATTGAAACAAGCAAAATCTACAAAACTTTCATTATAATTACTTTAGTCAAAAGCTTTGTGAAAATGTTGCCAATTGTTTTTTTTAATGCAAAATGGCATTGTTTGAAAGAATCTGATATAATATTTAGAATAATAAGAGTTTGTTGTCTTACTTCCACAGCAAATACTCAAACAAGATGATTTAAGGATGCTGCTTACTAATATTGAATCAGATGTAGAAAATTAGTCTCATCACATTAAGTCCATCCTTCACGTTAATTATTTTTATATTAATTAAATATATTAAAATATTTTTGGACAATTATTTATTTTGCCTATTTCGCCCGGATAAACAGGTTTGGGTTTTGGCAAACCGATGCTGGGATTCGGAAAAAGAGGAGGCCTGACGATGGGTGGCAAAGGCTGGTTAACGGGATTCGGATGAGGATGATGAATTTCGGGAATCACCTGATGAATCGGATTGGGATGAAGNTTGTAGCGCCACATCACTAGCGGACATTTGAAATTTGCCGACTAGGACGGTCGGTTAACCGAGGGGTCGGTTGATCGGGGGGCGGATAATCGAGGTTCTACTGTATCAAAAAACACCAAATTTACTATTATTACTTTTTCACTTGTGATATTATATTTTGATTTAATTTAAAATAAGTAAATAGCTTCCTATATTCATTATTTTTAACCTTTTGAAAAATGTTTGAATGTAACAGAAATTATTTTGTATTATATACTGTATATTGTGATTAAGTTCAGTTTTCATGACACATTTTGGCCAAGCTGTACCGTGTCAATATCATAAATTTGGTATGGTGCATAAATAAATACTAGATAAAAATAAACAAATGTAAAATAACACTTACATTGTTATAGTTAGTAATCAATGACTGACGAACAGCAATGGAAGTGGTCCCATCCATAAGTATATAAGTATAACCTTCCTGTTTGGTGAATTTTTCTAAAATCTTTATCATCTAAATTTTGTAAATAAAATAACTATAAATATATATAGATCCTAACAACATATATACATGTTGTTATGATCAAATCAATAAATCCAGTGAATATGCATAATCATCAGGTACTGTGATAATAGCCAACAGTTTTGGTGAATATGATAAATTATTCATGTTTTTGTAAAATTAGTCATAAGAACAATCCCCAGCACTCTCTGGTTAATGTGATAAATTTCAAGTTTGCAATTTCAGTCATATGTGACACCTTCCATGTCTGGTTACAAGTATGTGCAGTGTTGCCAAGCCTAATGAAAGTTTCCAAGCGGAAAGATTGAAAAAACCCAAAAACAGAGTTCCTGATGTTGAAAAGAGAAAAGGGATGACTCCAGAAACATTCCACCAGTCATTCTAGAGATGGATGCTGATGGCAAGATATATGAGATTGGCATGAAAAAGGGACAATTAGATCAAGAGTATTTGAGGAACCAGACAGTTTTGTCAAGAGACTTTCATTTTACAAGAGGAAGTTCCCGTTGTTATTGTGTCTCTTTGCAACTATGCCAGAAAATAATTTATCACAGGCAGTTAGGATACAAGAGCAATTAGGATTCAACTGCAATGGGAAATGCCTTTTGACAAAATGTGGCTGCAAAAGGCATAGAATACTCTGTAATTCAAAATGTCATGAAAGTTTGTCCTGTTCCAATGTAGGAGGTAGTCCACTTAAAAATGACAACAATAAAAATATCCTATACTTTATAATTTATCACTTTAGCCAAATAGTTTAGTTGTTATGTAGAAGAACTAGTGAAAATAATTAATTGATGTTTTGTTCACATTAACCACAAATATTAATTATTTTGTGAAATAACCAGTGATTATGCATAGTAACCAATTTATTAGATAAACCACAATATATGCACTAAAAGGAGGCAGTAGTCCAGAAAAGTTTGGGAAATGCTGTTGTAATTTATAATATACCTGTCATTAAAACCCCAACAATCTTTTATGAACACCCAATAATTTTAGTTACATATGTAACTAAATTTCTAATTGTTTTAACCAATAAAATTATAAAAATTCTCTGTCCTTTAAAAAGGATCTATTAAAAAAAAATTATAAAATCCTCCTATAAATAATTTTAAAAAAATTAATTTTCCTTTACAAGAATAACCTATAAATCAATCTAAAACTTACAAGAGAAAGAAAGAGTGAGCAACTTTAAAAATGTAATTTGTTTGCATGTATATTAAAGTATTATTTATTATTAAATGATATTTTCTTCCATCAATACAGATTCTAAAATACAAATATAAAGCATTTACAAATTTAGTAAAATAATGTTTATTCTGTATTTAGATGGAAATATTTTACCTGTGATATATTTTTTCTTCTATGGTTCCTGATGTTAGAAGTCTATAAATGGTGACCTGTCTCTCCTGACCAATGCGCCAAGCTCGTTCTCTGGCTTGAACATCTGTGCTGGGATTCCAGTCTGGATCATATATTATTACACGATTGGCACCCGTTAAATTCACTCCTAGTCCTCCTACTCGTGTAGTCAGAAGAAATAGAAAAATATTTGGATCCTACAAAATGAACAATATATGATTATATAACAATAATGTCAACATTTCATTTCAATATTCTGAACAAAAGAAAAATCATACAAAGTACAATTTTGCTTGGTTTAAACATTTCAAACACTTTTCACTTTTTTCTTATAGCTAAATGAAAAATCCTTCAACTTCTACAGATTCTAAACCTGAAAGTCTGAATGGAATTGATGTAACAACAATTAACAGTGTTCTAAATAAGATGTTGCCATATCTGAGACAGAAACCTTCAAATTTTAAGAAATCATAAAAAGAAAAAATCTGTAAATTCTGCTTTAGACTCATTTACTTTTGACTACAAATATTATAAAACAAGTTACAATTTTTAATTTAAAAGACTTTTAACTATCTAAAATCAGTTAAATCCAATTAACAAAAGAAATGTATTCAAATACAGTAGAACCTCGATTATCCGCCCTAATTGGGGACTGGGGTTGGTCGGATAATTGAAAAGTCGGATAACCGAAAAGTATGAAAAAATCCATTATTAGTGTAGTATATTATTATATCCCATGTAATTAGTATATTAGTATATTAGTATATCGCTATTAACCTATTTTGCGTTGAATTTTCATCGATGTTAAGCCTAACAAAAATTTTTTAAAATAATAATCGTCGCTATTGTAGCGCCACATCACTAGCGGACATTTGAAATTTGCCGACTAGGACGGTCGGTTAACCGAGGGGTCGGTTGATCGGGGGGCGGATAATCGAGGTTCTACTGTATCAAAAAACACCAAATTTACTATTATTACTTTTTCACTTGTGATATTATATTTTGATTTAATTTAAAATAAGTAAATAGCTTCCTATATTCATTATTTTTAACCTTTTGAAAAATGTTTGAATGTAACAGAAATTATTTTGTATTATATACTGTATATTGTGATTAAGTTCAGTTTTCATGACACATTTTGGCCAAGCTGTACCGTGTCAATATCATAAATTTGGTATGGTGCATAAATAAATACTAGATAAAAATAAACAAATGTAAAATAACACTTACATTGTTATAGTTAGTAATCAATGACTGACGAACAGCAATGGAAGTGGTCCCATCCATAAGTATATAAGTATAACCTTCCTGTTTGGTGAATTTTTCTAAAATCTTTATCATCTAAATTTTGTAAATAAAATAACTATAAATATATATATATATATATATATAATTAAATAAAAATTTAATTTTTATTATTATGAAATCTTTTCCAACCTTTCTACTTTGAGTAAAAAGTAACACTTTTTGTTTCTGTTTGTGCCATAATTGTAACAGAACTTTCACAACCATCATCTTCCCAGATCGTTTATAATAACCATATGATGTTTCTTCTGTTTGATCATTACTGTCAAATATCTTTGGACCACCAGTAAATATATCAGGATGGTTGCATATTTTCCTCAAATTAATTAATCCAACAAAAATCTGTTTGACAAAAATATATATAAAATCTTCATGTAATAATTATAACTATTGGTACAGTATAAAAATAATTAAAACAAGGAATTAGTGAAATCACAATAATCCAATGTCTTAGTTGAAATAATGACATTGATAAATACAGGGTGTCTGAAAAGATACTGTGTAGTGGAAAAAGTTTAAGTGAAGTTTTAATAAAAGTGAAGCTTTACATACAATATTGCAATTTCTCCTACAACAATGCTGGAAATGTCTTCCAGAGCTCCTAAATCAAGAAAGTGAGGTCTGGAGACCTAGCAAGCAAATTCCATAGGAAATTACATAATGGAATGCCAATCTAGCAAGCCAGATTTCATAGAATCTGGTTTACTAGATCAGCAAAGAAGTCTTCCAAAAACTAGAACAACTGTCAGAAAACAGTAATTCCATCTACCACAAAATAGAAATGCAGGATTAAAACTTACAGGTATCATATGCAATGCCATAGATGTAACTTTAATGTCATTACAAATTTCTCACTGCACAATAACTTTGCAGACATCCTGTATATACTGTTTTTAAATTAAAGGTTTATGATAAAAACAACAATTAATTTTTCTAATTTTTAATGATATAATGCATTTGAAAATTCAAATAATCGAAAAATATAAACAAACTTCAGATTTTTTTTTACTCTTTCCATTCAAAGATCATCTTTTAACAGGTCCACTTTGAGTCTAACCAAGCCCACAATGAGATAGCCAGGTGATGATGGATGGATCCGACATATCCTGGAACAGACACCCCGAAAAAATTCCTGGGGTTTATTAATCTGTCCAGATTATTCTTGAGTCTCCAGAACTGTAGACTGACACCTTAACCACTCAGCCATCAGTCCCGAATGTTCAAATTAATGAATTTAACTTTTCACAAAAAAAAAAAAAAAAAAGTGTAACAGGTTTTTCAATATTCATTGCTTATAATTCATACCTGTAAAGATCCATTCATTATATTAACTGCTTCTTGAGATTCTAAATATTGTTTGTATAATTCTCTTTGTTCATCAGTAAGTTTGCAGAATAAAACCTATAAATAATTTTTCAATATAAATTATAATTATTTGCTTTTTGTCCAATATTGTAATAAATCTTCTGATCAGCTATTTATCTATATGTAATTTGCTATAAATTTTAAGAACTTTCATACCAGTTTTCATTGGTTTAATAAAATCTCAGTGAGCTTTCCAATTGAAAACTGGTGTGATAAGTCCTTAACATTTACAGCAAATTACATATAGCTGTTCAAAAGATTTATTTTTAATATAAAGTTTCCATTTTTAACATAAAACATTAACAGAATACAGAAAATTTTACTTGTTCATTTTTCTCTGGTAATTGTATTGTTGTCTTTACATCCTCCTTCATTCGGCGTAATAAATATGGTTTAATTGTATCCCGTAACATTGTAGCACACTTGTAAGCTGTCTGGACCTGAATTTCAGAAGCATTTGAATAGCCACCCTGAGTTATTGGTACAGCAAATTGTTGAAGAAAAACTGGCAAAGTTCCCAACTTTCCAGGATAAACAAAATCAAACAGGGACCATAATTCTTTCAAATTATTTTGAATGGGTGAACCTGATAAAATCAATCGATGACAAGTTCGAAACTAAAACATAGAATGTATATTTCTTGTAAATATTGAATGTAACACAAATAAATGTTGTATGCTGTTTAATTAATACTTACTTGTTTACATGCTAATGTTACTTGTGCATCAGGATTTCTAATTTTATGCCCTTCATCTAATATTATATAATGCCATTCATAAGATAAGAGCAAATTTTGATAAATACATATTCCAGCATATGAAGTAATTAGAATACCATTACAAGAATTAATCTGCTCCACCAATGATTTCTTCAAAAAAACATTATAAAACATTTTATAGTTATGTATGTAAATCAAAAACCTTTTAATAATAATAATAATATGCTTTACTTTTGAACAAGAATAAGATCCTGATTCATGAAGTATTGCCACTCTAAGAAGAGGGCACCAGATGTGAAATTCTTTCACCCATTGATACATGACAGTTGCTGGACAGACAAGTATAACAGGCCCAAGTCCAGTAAATCTGAAAAATATACATATGTGTATGTAATAAATACAACTAACCCAATAGTTATTACAAATACCAAATGAACAGATGGTATTTGCTCCTGCTTACTGGCAATGCATCTGCATGGTAAGCAGAAGTTGCAGGTTTAAGTTTCAGTCCAGGCCAATCTTTTCTTCCAGAATATTCTAAGATTTAAATTAAATTAATTAATTACTATATTTAACAAGAGATGACAGCCTGATGGCCTGCCTCCTGCCAATTGCTTACTAATTATTTAGCCTTATAGCCTAATAAAGAATCTGGCTGTTCATTTGGTATTTATAAATCTGAAAATAGTTAAGCAATAGTTTTATGCAAAAATAACATAAATGTTATACATTCCAATATATATACATAAGAATTATTAAAATTTTTCTAGTTTAAACTATTATCATTAATTTAATTAAGTGCTTAAACAAAGTTATCAATTAAAAGTTCATTTGTAATTTGCAAATGAATTAAGGTCTAAGAATCTTATCTCTCATGAGAACTTTAACCTAAATAAATTACAGATTTATTTCCACTCTTACTTGCAAAATTAACAAAAACAATGTTCCGGATTATTATTAATTTATTTACTAAAATATGATACAATAACATAAAAAAATTTATATTATAATACTAATAGGTTAACTTACTGGTCACCAATTGTTTTAATTTTACTAAACTGAAGTCCTGAAAGGAATACTATTACTTGAATAGTTTTACCAAGTCCCATTTCATCACCAACAATTCCACCACAATTTTGTTGGTGTAGTTCCCACAGCCATCTCACACCAGTCTGTTGATATCTATACATAAAATATTTTTAAAAACCAAATAAAATTAATAAGAATTCATAACATTATTTATATTTTTATCATTTTTAAGAACTACGTAACAAGCTTGGTTAAGCTAATCTGATAGCATGCTCCACAAAAGCAAATCAAATGTTAATTTTGTTTAAAATAAATTTTATAAATTCTTGGAATCAAGTAATTGTTCAGAAGACTTTTTCACTGAATATACAGTAAGGGATGTGGTTTATAGATTCCAGAGGAACTGTATACTTTTTACTATAGCTTACAGTGACCATAAACAAAAAGGTTCAGTTCCCTTTTGTGCACGTACGTGGACATGTGTAATGAATGGATTGATGGCCAGTGGGGTATCAGTTTCATTCGTGTCAAACATGTGCAATAAATCGATTGAACAGAGCATGCGTGTGCACATCTGACAGACACACAAAAGTTCTAACAAACACTTCACCACTATAAATTTTAATGGGAATCAGCAATCTTTCTGATGCAAGAAATTAAAAAATATCCTAAACTATCTAATTAATGTTCTCATTCACCTCAAAAACAAATTAAATTAATAAAATAAAAGGACGACTCTTACAAAAAAAAATTTTCTGTTTCAGTCATTTCTTTCATTGTTCACACCATCAGCAGTTCATAAAATCACAAACTCACGAAGACAACCTTCCTTTTTAGGCTACTGCCTCCGTAGTTAAAATGCAAAAATGATAAAAGCGTCATCTGGTGTTCTTGCCACAATCACAAAATACATTTTAAGTAAAAAATAATAAGTTTTACATGGCCAACGATTATTTCATATTAATAAAATAAAAGGACGACTCTTACATGTATTTTATAGTGTAAATCAGTTTATTTTATAGTGAAAATCGTTTATTAGAACGGGAAGATGCTTACATATTTGAGGTAGTTGGAAATGGCTTATCTACAGTATTTTCTCTCGGCACTGAGGAGTGGCGTATCGCTGGTCCTACGATAGTGCAAGCTGATCAGTCGTAGTCCCAGAGCGGACGAGATGGGTTCGCTTGGTCACAGAAGCGATGGTAGGTGACAGAGCCGCAAGACTGGAGCGGTCCGCGAGACACAACACAAATTTTAGCGGGAACGACTTCAGGCTTAATCCAGACGAAGACGACACAGATTAATCGCCATAGAATTTTTAGGAAAA